TTTTTTATAAATAATCTTAATAACGCGAAAGTAAAGAAATGAATAATATAAAAATACGGATAAATATTCTACGTGGATATTTTTCATTGCTATTTCGATATACGAGGAATTTTAACTGATTAATCAGGTCATCGCACCGGCATATAAAAAAATTTTCCCAAAATTGACATGACGCTAAATTGAACAGATAAGAGGCTTAACTAAAAATAATACGAAGATTTGATAGTTCGTCAAACGTATAAACAATCTGTTAATGTATAAGACTAATTGGAAAAAGAAAGTTTTCAGAAGGTTGTATATATATATATATATGCTCGCCATCCGAATATATCGAACGGACACGATCATCTTCGTGTGTACGTGTCCCTATCGCATGGTACAAGAGAAATACATATCTACGACTTTAGCCTGAAGCAGAGAGAGTTCTCTTTTTCCTCCAAATGGGGCTATACGAACAACCGAATCATCATTATGAATTCACGTAATACATAAAAACGTTACCACATTCATCGTGGCAAATACATACGTGTTAAACACTATGTGTGCAAGTTTACGTACAAGTTTCGCTCGAACGTCGCTGAATGATATCGAGATACGATAACTATTGCTCTTTATGTTGGCGGTTGTTAAGAACAATTGGATCGTTGATCGTTCGTCGATCGAAATTAATTTATTCATTAAACTCCCGTTAATCGATCGTTTCGGAAGTTAAACAAATGTCAATAACACGTGTATATATGTTTCTAAACAGGGTGGAATATTTTATGGAAAGCGAGATGGACATACATGTAAATAAGTGTACCAACGCTTTATCTCCTATGTGGTTCGCTTGATTGTGCGACGAGCTTGAAAGTAACATACATGATGCGCGTGACACAAGCGTTCTTGATTTATCTGAATTTTAATGGTTCCGAGAAAACGATGCGACTATTTTTACAATCGACAGAAATTTATCTATTGCACACGTGTATAGCTTCCAAACGGGAATTTCATGATTTATAAAAACTACAACTATAAAAATACGTATTAACATTGTGATGTATGATATCTTGTAAGTATATACATATATGTATGTATGTATTAACTTTTTATGACAATTGCGTACTTTTTCAGGTTAGGACGGTATTGTTTTGTTTTGGTTTTTTATTTCATAATTTTATTACGTTGTCTAGCCTAATATATATATATATATATATATATATATATATATATATATATATATGAAGCTTGCGTTAGAATGAACACGTGAAAACACGTGGAAAAAATAAAAGCAGGAATTTATTGAATACGATTTATGTATCTTTGTAATTTGTTTTTTTATCGCGATATAATACAACGTAATATGCACACGAGACAACAAAACTTTCCTTTGGAACAAGAGTATGAAATTATTCCAAAAAAATTCGATATTAAAAAAATTTTATGTCAAATATATGACGATTTGCTTGACCGCAAAATTCATTCAAATGGCGTTTCGTTTGAACGCAAGAAGAAAAGAGAAATCGATGAATCCCCGCTCGGATTTTCGAGGTACTACGGGTTTCCCAATATAACGTGGCAAATCTATGTAAATCTACTCAACTTTAAATCAATTCGATATAATAATTTTTGTATTTTCTAGTATGCAATTTTTTTTTTTTTTTCTTTCTTTTTTGCTTTCATAGTTTCGCTTGCGATGCATATATGCAATCGCAGCTGGAGAGCAAATGAAAAGAGATCGGATTATTAGAGAGAAGAGGCATAAGTAATCTTGTAAAGAAGGTGGGGAGAAGAAAATATCAGGAGTGTAAGAAGAATAGAAAGAGTTCTGAGAGAAACAGAAAGAGAGAGAGAGGGACTACCGTTCGGAGGAAACGCGATTGCGTCAAACACGCACGCACTCACTCACTCACGCATATAGAACGCGACATGCGCGCGCGCAACACATTGAATTTGTCTTTGGTCTTCGTCAATTCCAACATCTAAACAGTGTCTACGAACAATCATGCGATTAAACAAGGTAGAATGACATAATTAACAATATACTCGAATTTTTTGGTGAAAATTATGAAAATTCGAGGTTCAAGCAACGTAATGTCCATACGGGTACATTGAGCTTTAATTTTCATGCGATTCACTCACCTTCTTTTCTCCTTGTGTTTCTTCTCTTTTTTCGGATGATCCATGGCAAGTCAAAAATTTTAGAGAAACTTTTTTCGGATGATACAATACTAGGATACTCTCGGTCACTGCCAAGGAACGTATCCAGCTTATAATCCGCCTTCACTCGTCACGAAATTCTTCGTTCCAATTGTCTCTTCCGTACTTTGTTCGTAGTAACTCCTTCCTATTCTCCCGTTATCGAAATCAATGCACCAACATACGTTCTTCACTCACTTAACGTTATGAAACGAAAACACATCATTCTTCTATACGTATGAAACGATCGACGAACGCCAAACTCATGGTGTGATGGCGATGACGATGACGATGGTGAAGCTAGTAGTAGTAGTAGTGACTCGTTACAACAGTGGTGGTGGTAAACGACCGCGGCGTGGTGGTAGAGGTTGTATACACGAGACCGACTGTCCCAAGGGATGGAACAAAAGAGGGGAGGTCATAAAGTTGACGTCATAGCACATTGGTTCCATCTTTCTCGTAGAGAAAGATCGC